GTGCTACAAATGTATAATTTTTCTTATTAAAAAATTAAAAAAAGAAACAAAGAGAGAAGATAACTGAAAATCAGAAATCAACATTAAAACCAATGCCGTCGTCGATTAAACAAAATAAAAAAATTGATCTATTTTAAAAAAATGGCTAGGGTTACTACGCTTTTCTAAAATTATAAACTTAAAAGTTAAAGAAGGCCAAATCTCTACTTCTATTTATTTATTTTTTAAATATTTTTAACATTTTACCTATTATATTTTATGAGATTGGATCAAATTTTTAGTATTGTTACTTGTAAAGTTTGGACATATATATTTTTATTAAAATATAATATATTTTATTATTATCTTAATATTTATTAATTTTTACAATTTATTGTACTAATGTATTTCATGAATTGATAATATTTACTTATAAGATATATTAACAGTAAAATATGTAATAATTTAATATATTACTTTTGATATTTAAAAAATATTTTTAATAAATAAACGAATTTCGTCACTGTTCTAATTATTAATTAGCACGAACCCCAATGATCTCGATGATAAAAGAATTATTGTTATTCTTTTATGTCCCAAATTTGAGTACTAGGAATATTATGAGTACAAACGTTCAATATTAAATGATTAAGAATTATTTTTAAACATATATTACCAAAATTATTAAAAAAATATTAATTCATAAATTTGACCATCATTTTGGCCTATTATTTCTCTAAAATAAATATAAAAAAACTTGTCAAACAAGACCAATGAGCTTTCAATAGAGTCAAGATTGTGAATTCATACAAGCAAAAATTATCTTGTGAATAAAAATATAAATTTAATTTCTACACATACATAATAAATATTTGACTTATAAGATCAAATGATGTATGTTGAAAATGGAAATCGTAACCGCAACTCATTAAAATAATAGGTTATGGGTTTTATAAGTTATCTAATATGATATAAAATAATATAAAATAATATTTTATTATTACTTTGATATTTAATTATTTTTAATTAAATTTATTCTTAAATAATTTAACGTGATGCATGTTATATTATTTTATTTTTTGTTATAAAAGATTAATGACGCTCTATGGATGTGTTATGTGACATAAACTATATATTTACTAAAAAATTATAAAAATCCTTACAGTGTCATATAACAAGGGATGTGGTTAGTATATACATATAGTTTGGGATGAAATTGGAATGTTCAAAAGTCTGAGGACTCATTTAGAATCATAGTCATAGTTTAGGGATGAAACTGGAACATTTAAAAGTTTAAGAACCAATTTAAAATGAGAGTCATACTTTGAGGACATGTGATGGAATTAACTCTTTATATTTTATATTGATTAATTTTGTTTTTTATAAGTAGGATGTATTATATTTGTATTTGTTGATAGTATAATTTTATTTATTTCTTGCACTCCTTAAAGATTTTGAATATTATAGTTTTATTTAAAATATTATATGCACTTTTTGAAAAATGATACTCTAGCAATTTAGGCATATAAATTTTGAAACAAGTGAATTCGCTATATTCTTACGAAATGTTATAGAAATCAACTGTGGTGAAATGAATAATAGACGGGGAAGACGATTGGATCACCTGACATCTTTGTGAAGACATCGAAAAAATCTAGGGAAGATTCAGCGTCTTTCCCATACTACATGCATTTGAAACATCAAGTCTAACGAAGTAATAATATAGAAGACGTTGAGTGATCCATACGTCTTTCCAAAAATATCAAAGGATCCAAACGTCTTTTAAAAACACTATAATAAATATTTTATTTGTACAAATAATTTTTTCAACACTCTAAATCAACTAATATTTTTGGCAGAAAATAATTTAAGATGGAAAAAGGAAGTCCAATACTATACATAGACCAAAGTTTGAGGCTTTGCTATTAAGACCGATCTACACTATGTTGTGTTAAATAGATTAAACGAAATGAAATTACGTACGAATTGTTACTTAATATCAGGTTAACTGTATAAATGGTTATTGAAGCATAAGTAAATTTTTTTTACTTTATTAAAGACTTAAAAGTAATAAGATGATGACTAACGTTATCGAAAAATAATAAAATGATCATTGTGCCGTTAAACGTTGTTATTCTTATCACGAAAAATTAAATTGACACGTTAATAGTTTGGCTCAACCCTTCACTCTTTGCCTCAACATATTATCGGGGACTTAAATAGCATTTTGTTATCATAATAGCGGTTATAATATAAAAGTAAAAGTGTCATCCGAAATCATTATCGTACAACTGCAATACCTACAACGACCGTAATAACGCCTGCTATTGTCACAATCGTAATAAATTAAACACAATGCAACTAAAAAAACCTCAATATTACATCATGACATGAACAATGAACCACTTCCCCCACACTCCAACAAATAACACCTTGGATAACCCAATCAACCTACATATTAGCCTAAAGAATAGCGCAATAAGCCTATGATAATTTGAGCCCAACTTAATATCTATAAAGTAATTTTTAAAGAAAAGTAACAAAAAGTCTTCGTATCCCTCCTCTCCAAACAAAAAAATAAATTCTTAGATTGGTTTGTTGAAGTGGTAAACAATTTGATATCACTTAAGCATGTCTCGAGTTGGAGATATTGTATATGCCAGAAGATTTCCGCTGGGATATTCACCCACCAAAACTAGGTGTACGACGCGAGTTAATCCGGATTAAATAAGATGAAATCCTAGAATAAGGAGGGCAACAATTCTTTTTTTAAAAAGCTATGGGATAGGGAAGATTTACTAGGTTGAGCAATAGTTGAACACTTAGGCTAGAAAAATGGGATTTTGTTGGATAAATGGAGAACAACCTCCTCTAATTGATCCAACAACTTTGGGAAGGGGAAGGCATGCAATTCACCAAATCATTGTTAAATATTGCTTTCAATTTTGTCCATCTCACCCCTACAAAAGGAGACAACGCTATCTATCATTATATATAAATATAATTTATTTATTTATTTATTTACACACCCGAAAAAGCAAATCTTTTATCGACCAAATGAAATCTGTATTTAATGAAAATAAGAGGACAGGAAAAAAATTAATAGTGATGGAATAAATTCCTTTAATTCAAAATGTCATGTACATTGAACTTCTCACTCATAATATATGAATTTCCTTCATATGTCGTGTCCAAAATCAACATGAAATTTATAGTTGTTGTAATCTCGCTATTTAGAATTTTTATAGTAAAAAATCAAAATTTTAAAGAAATTAAGGAAGGTACATTTACAAGTTAAAAAAACTTTTTATGAATTAAACAGTAAAAAAATCTTGAATTATGAATTAAAAATTAAATTATATTTTTCCTTATATCACAATAAACAATTGTTCATATCAGGATTACACCAAGATATTTTCAAGATTTCTTATAAGAAATAGCGTAAAGTACACAAGTGGTCCCGACTATAAGATATTGCTTTATTGAATTCTTTGACTATTAAAAATTATAATATAATCCCCAAGTTATGAAGAGTTATTTTGTTGAGTCCCTTGACTATTGAAAGTTACAAAATGGTCACATGACTATTCATTATGATCCAAACTCATCATTTTTTGTTAAAAAAATAATGATCGTCTGAATTGAACATTAACATACGGACTGAGATAGGATAGTTGTTTTAGATTATGAGATCCGATTTTATTATATTTCAATAAGTAGGTTAACATTCAGCTCAGACTGCAGTCAATGTTTTAACAGAAAATAATGAGTTTGGAACATAATGAATAGTCAGGTAACCATTTTGTAACTTTTAATAGTCGAGAGACTCAACAAAGTAACTTCCTATTGTTAGAGGACTATTTTGTAATTTTTAATAGTCGATGGACTTAATAAAATAATATTCTATAGTTAGGGGATCATTTGTGCAATTTACCCTAAGAAATAATATTAGACAACTTTTCATGTGATGACAATGATGATAATATATATAGACTGCATATATTATTCAAGTTTGCAGTGCATATATTTGATTGCTTCTTTTGCTTGCATTTGTTAAACATAATAATGAATGGTAAATATAATATATGAATTACTAATATTAAGTGTATATATATATAATGTGTGTATATATATTTAGGGCTCTGATCTCCATTTCATATACAAAAAATAATAATATCATAATATATATTACCATCAACTGCGGTCCTTTCTAGATTTTACTGCTCTTTTTCTACTGCTTTACATGCTTTTCAAATGACAAATGATAAAAGAAAATTGACCATCTAGGGGGTGGATTGATTGCTTTTCGGGACTAAGGTAAAAAGAACTTATGTTTCTTTAACCTATAGTACAGCAAGGTGATGAATTGATAATGGTGGTGGGTGGAGGTGACTTTTGGGTTGTTCGAATGAGTTTAGATCGGATTAATTTGGAGTTTATATTATATTTGATTTAAATTCGATTTGGGTCAGATCTAATTTGAATCTATGCAAAGTCACATCGAATCAATATCAAATCATATACTTTTTAGATCAAATCAACATCAAATCAATCAATTTTCAGATCAAACCAACATTGAATTGGTCAGTTTCTGGGTCAATAGATTTTCGGGTCGAGTTAATAACTGATTGATTAGTTTTTGGTTTGAATCCATGTTTGAATATTCGAGTTAATTTAGGTTGAGTTGTGTATGATCAAACAAGTTTTAAAAAATAAATAATACAATAGGTGGTAATTAACTTGTAGTATAATAATATTAAACTATTATCGAATGTAGTGGTTAAATATTAGTATAATAAGATTGAACCATTAACTATTATCAAATGTGGTGGTTATTTATCAGTATAATACAAAAAGAAAATAAAACATATATAATTTTTTTTGGATAATTCCGCTTCATTACCCAAGAAAGAAGAAAACCTGCTACAGTTAACATCGTACAATAAATAACATAGATAAATCACCAGACAGTAACAACAAAACAACAAACACAGTGGAGGAACAAAACAAAAAACATCAGCTTAGGAAATGCCCCAGTTAGCGCAGAGGATTGCGTTTCTGGGGTCGTTTATATTGATAGCCTTACCCTCCATACGGACACGCAAAGCTTCTTTGATGTCCTGCAGAACATCATCCACTGACTGCGCTCTTCCTCCATAGAGTCTATTGTTTCTCTCCTTCCAAATACCATAGATGTGGCTTGTCCAAGCAAGTCGAAGCACTCCCACAATGAATGACTTTCCCTTGAGGCAGCGAATTGCCCAAACTAACTCACCATCCCAGCAACTAACCCCTCGATAAACATCACAAAGACCAAGAATAGCTCCCCATAAGCCTTTAGCAAAGATGCAACCAAAGAACAGATGGTCTCTACACTCAGCCTCCATACCACACAGTAAGCAATCAACATTCTCAATGTTTAAACCCATTCTTTGAAGTCTAACCCGAGTAGGGCTCCTGTCAAGAATGGCCATCCATGCTATGACACTATGTTTAAGGATACGCCCAGGGAACCAAACAATATGCTGCCAAGGAACCTTAGGAGCTCTAGTTCGCAAAGCTTCCCATATGCTTCTAGTGCTCAAGCTACGGTCCAGGCCAGCAAACATATATCATTTTATTATTTATCAAGTTGTTAAAAAATAGATAATAATAATAAATTATTCGTTTAGTTTAAATCAATTATATTGTTAAAATCGGATCAATGTTTGATTCTGTTCGGATCTAGGTAAATTAAATTTGAGCTTCTTTTGGTAAGGGTTACTTTCCATTTGAGTTATTTTTTTATTCAGTTTACTTTCAGTTGGAGCTACTTTCGGTTTGGATTACTTTCAGTTCTGATTACTTTTAATTTGAGTTGTTTTTTTTATTCCAGTCAAACTGGATATGGGTCTATATTGATCTAGTTAAAATTTGAGTCGATTTTGACTTTCAAATTAAAGTTACATAATCACATTTAAATCTATATCGGATATTAAATCAAATAAATTAATTTAAATAATTGAATTCAAATGAAATTTACCAGTTCAATGGTGGATGCCTTTATCTCCACGATCATTTTGAATAGATTTTTTTGATTAATTTGAGGTAAGTACAAGATAATAACTGTTCAAAAATAACACTTAATCATTTGACATTGATTACTCATACTTTTGTCATTCCTGGTGCTTAAACCCGGGACATCAAGGAATACTAATAATTCATTTATCACTGAATTTGCTTGGTTCGCACATTTTAAATAGAAAAATTGAAATTTAAAAAAATAAATGTTTATTCTAAATATATGGAATCTATAGATCAATTTGAATTAAATTTTTGATAAATATTTTGTATAGCTTTTCCTAATAGAGTAATAGCAACTTTTTAAATTAATGATTTGAATTAAATATTGGATAAATAATTCTTGTATTTATTTAGTCTTTGACATGACCTTGTAACAAACCATAAGAAATAAATACGATAATAAACTAATTAGTCACAACAAATATGAGTTTTATACATTAACCCAAACCTATAGTTTCTTATTATATCAATATTTGTTATAACAACAACTCACATGTTTGGTAGTTACTCTAATATAAATATTCTAGAAATGAAGGTGGTGTGTTTTGCATGTGAATGTTATCCATCAAATTACTAAGATAAATGGTTGTCCCTTGTTCCCATATATAATGGGGTAAGGGGGAGGTAAGATAGTAGGCTGCCCCCAACACTAGGTTGAGAACAGCTTCCGTAGGAGACATCCAAATTATGAAATGTCCTTCATGGGACTCGATCCCACGACCTCAAGGTTAAGAACTCACATGTTTGGTAGTTACTCTAATATAAATATTCTAGAAATGAAGTTGGAGTGTTTTGCATGTGAGTGTTATCCATCAAATTACTAAGATAGATTTATGTATTTTTAAAATATATAATAATATCTTCCAAGACGAATAAAAAAATCATAAATATTTTGAAAATTAAATTTCTATAAGTTAAATATGATCTCTATTACGATTTATTTGAATTAAATTTTAGATTAAATTTTTTATTTTAAAAAAAAATCTATACAATGTTGAAAATGAAGAAAGGAGGAACAAACAACTAGTTGGTCCAGTGAGATGAGGCACTAAATCCTTTAAGTTAGGTTAGAGGTTTGAATTTTGATGTTTGCGAATGAAACAAACTGGATTGAGAGGTTTATTTTGCCTTTGCAGTATCGGATCTGAATTAATTAATCAATAGATCGGATAACGATGATTTTAAAAGAAAGAATGAAGAAAGGGTTGAGAAACATGACTTCATTGTATATTATATTTTATTAGACTCAAGAAATTGTAGTTACATGTTTTTGTTTTAAGTCAATGATTCCTAAAGTGCTTATCCGACAACAATGAACATTCCCCTAAAGTTGAAATACTTCAAAACCCAACTTGGCTCACTCTCAAATCCTCTATCAAAACCTTACAGAAGTTGTTGAACCCACCTCTCTTTTCCCAAGGCCCCGTCCCCGTTTGATTGAGGTTTGTAATATATACGAGTTAGAATCCCTTTAGTGAAATTTTCTTTTTTTAGTTTTATATATATTTAAAATCGTTGAATGATTAAAAATAGAAGGTTGATATTAACTTTTTTTTTCGGTGAATATCTTCTCATTTTCTATTGTTAACCTTAATTGTTTATTTGCACTTATCCAATGGTCTAAAATCTGTGTAAATTTTAAAAGTTTTACACTGTGTAATTGAATCCCTATATATATATATATATGATTATATGAGATTAAAACTATGATCAAATTGATAAAATATATAAGTAACAAAGAATAAATGTACTTGTAATATATTAAAAAAACTTGTCAAACAAGACCAATGAGCTTTCAATAGAGTCAAGATTGTGAATTCACACAAGCAAAAACAATTTTGTGAATAAAATATAAATTTAATGTCTACACATACATAATAAATATTTGACTTATAAGATCAAATGATGTATGTTGAAAATGGAAATCGTACCCGCAACTCATTAAAATAATAGGTTATGGGTTTTATAAGTTATCTAATATGATTTAAAATAAGATTAAATAATATTTTATTATTACTTTGATATTTAAATATTTTTAATTAAATTTATTAGACCACTTTTCATGTGATGGCAATGATGATAATATAAATAGACTGCATATATTATTCAAGTTTGCATCTGCATATTATTTGATTGCTTCTTTTTCTTGCATTTGTTAAACATAATAGTGAATGGTAAATATAATATATGAATTACTAATATTAAATATATATATAATGTATATATATATATATATTTAGGGCTCTGATCTCCTTTTCATATACAAAAAATAATAATATCATATTATATATTACTATCAACTGCGGTCCTTTCTAGATTTTACTGCTCTTTTTCTACTGCCTTACAGGCTTTTCAAATGACGAATGATAAAAGAAAATTGACCATCTAGGTGTTGGGTTGATTGCTTTTTTAGACTAAGGTAAAAATAACTTATGTTTCTTTAACCTATAGTACAACAAGGTGATGAATTGATAATGGTGGTGGGTGGAAGTAACTTTTGGGTTGTTCAAATGAGTTTAGATCGGGTCAATTTGAATTGAATCATTTCGAGTTTATATTATATTTAATTTAAATTTGATTTGGGTCAGATCTAATTTGAATTAATTTGAGTTTATGTAAAGTCAGATCGAGTCAATATCAGATCAGTTAATTTTCATATCAAATCAACATCAAATCAATCAATTTTCGTATCAAAACAACATTGAATTGCTCAGTTTTTGGGCCAATAAATTTTTAGGGTCGAGTCAATATCTTATTGATTAATTTTTTGTTTAAGTCAATGTTTGAATATTCGAGTCAATTCAGGTTGAGTTGTGTATGATCAATCAAGTTAAACAAATAAATAATACAATAGGAGGTAATTAACTTGTAGTATAATAATATTAAACTATTATTGAATGTGGTGGTTAACTATTAGTATAATAAAATTGAACCATTAACTATTATCAAATGTAGTGGTTAATTATCAGTATAATACAAAAAGAGAATAAAACGTATATCAATTTATTATTTATCAACTTGTTAAAAATAGATAATAATAATAATAATAAATCGTTTGTTTAGTTTGAATCAATTATATTGTTAAAATCAGATCAATGTTTGATTCTGTTCGGATTTAGGTAAATTAAATTTGAGCTTCTTTTGGTTAGGGTTACTTTCCATTTGGGTTATTTTTTATTCAGTTTACTCGGTTCGAGCTAATTTCGGTTTGGATTACTTTCAGTTATGATTAGTTTTAATTTGAGTTTTTTTATTCCAGTCAAACTGGATATGAGTCTATATTGATCTAGTTAAAATTTGAGTCGATTTTGACTTTCAAATTAAATTTACATTATCACATTTAACTCTATATCATATCTCAAATCAAATAAATTAATTTAAATAATCAAATTCAAATGAAATTTACCAGTCCAATGGTGGATGCCTCAATATCCACGATCGTTTTGAATAGATTTTTTTATTAATTTGAGGTAAGTACAAGGTAGTATATGTTCAAAAATAACTTTCAATCATTTGACATTGATTACTCATACTTTTGTCATTCCTGGTGCTCAAACCCGGGACATCAATGAATAATAATAAATTTTTTTTCTGAATTCGCTTGGTCCGTACATTTTAAATAGAAAAATTGAAATTTTAAAAATTAAATGTTTATTCTAAATATAAGGAATCTACATATTAAATTGAATTAGATTTATGATAAATAATTTGTATAGCTTTTCCTAATAGAGCAATAGCAACTTTTTAAAATTAATGATTTGAATTAAATATTGGATAAATAATTCTTGTATTTATTTAGTCTTTGACATGACCTTGTAACAAACCATAAGAAATACGTACGATAATAAACTAATTAGTCACAACAAATATGAGTTTTATACATTAACCCAAACCTATAGTTTCTTATTATATCGACATTTGTCATAGCAACAACTCACATGTTTGGTAGTTATTCTAATATAAATATTCTAGAAATGAAGTTGGAGTGTTTTGCATGTGAGTGTTATCCATCAAATTACTAAGATAGATTTATGTATTTTTAAAATATGTAGTAATGTACTCCAAGACGAAGAAAAATTTCATAAATATTTTGAAAATTAAATTTATATACGTTAAATACGATATCTATTACGATTTAATTGAATTAAATTTTAGATTTAATTTTTTATTTTTTTAAAAATATCTCTACAATGTTAAAAATAAGAAAGGAGGAATCAACAATCAGTTGGTCCAGTAAGATAATACATTAAATCTCTTAAGTTAGGTCAGGGGTTCGAATTTTGGCGTTTACGAATAGAACAAACTGAATTGAGAGGTTTGCCTTTATCTCTGCAGTACCGGATCTGAATTATTCAATCAATAAATAAATTAAAAAAAAAGAAAGGGTTGAGAAACATGACTTCATTGTATATTATATTTTATTAGACTCAAGAAATTGTAGTTACATGTTTTTGTCATAACTCAATGATTCCTACATTGCTTATCCGACAACAATGAACATTTCCCTAAAGTTGAAATACATCAAAACCCAACTTGGCTCACTCTC